AAATTTTAATATTTATAAAAATTTTTTAGAAATTTCAATATAAAAATATTAAATAAACAATATAATTAAAAAGATAAAAAAATAAAATTTATTTAGATAAGTAATAAAAAAAAATAATTAATAGAATATTGACATTTCATCAAGAATCAAATAGTAATAAAAAAAAATATCAAGCAATCAAAATCTTTGTTTTAATTAAATATTGATTTTTATGAAATTCTGTTAGAATTTTGATCAAATTAATAATTAATAAAAATCAAAAATTAATAATTAAAAAATAATTAATTTTAATTAAATAAATCGTTTTTTTTATTTTTCATTAATTTCTTACAAATTCTAAATATATAATTAAAAATATTTGACCATTTGTATAAATTAATAAAATAGATAAATTTCATATAATTGCAAACATACCATAGGGAAAATTTTTGTTACAATAAAAATACAAGAATTGACAACAAAGTAATTGAAACCACCGCCAATTCCTCGAGCTCTTTGTGGAAGCAATTCCGCAACCATTAATCCTGGAAGTGCCATCAATCCCACAGTATTAGTTGCCACGTATAGCAATAAAAGTATACCAACAATGTATATCTAAAACATACAAATGTAATAAATTAAAATGTGTTTAAAAATAAAAAAAAAATTTCTTACCATAAAGTTTATTATTATTATAATTTACAAATATTAATTATTATAATTATTATAATTTAAAAATAGATTAAATTAGATTAACTTAGATTTAAAGCTATACTGACAATTTTTAACATATATTACTTAAAAAAAATAAAATTGCAATTTTTATAAAATAATAAATACCGTAATCTTTATTACTTAAGACTTTCAAATATGAGTCGCATCCAATAGAAATTTTATTCCAATATTTTATTTTTTGTCATATTTTTAAAATTTTAAAAAAATAATAGATAATTATTAGAATTAAATCATATTCAATTTTATCCAAATATTTTACTAGTATTACTCGGGGAATTAGATGACACAAATATAAAATATATAAAGTATATATTGAGATAAAATTTCTATTAGATACATCTTATATCCGAAAGTTTTAAATAATAATATATTTTTGGACTATGACAACTATATTAATATAATAATATAAACTCAATTTTTTTAATTTTATTAAATGATAAATAAAAAAAGAATTTATCTCTATCAAAAAGGGATTTCTTTGATAAAACCATTATTTTATGGTTTTCATTTTATTAATAATTAGAATTAGAATTAATTAGAATTTACTGTTTTTTTTTAATACCATAGAAAATGAGAATTATTAAAATAATAACAATACTTTAATAAAGTTAATAAAACGAGTACAATTTATTTATTATTAAATAATTATCTATTATTACATAAATATATAGATAGATATATAAGATATTAAAATATTCTTGAAAGATCCATAAAACAAACATAAAATTTCAATTCAAAACTTATTTATTAAATTATAAAATTTAACTTAAATTTGTATTAGATAGAACAAGATATAAAAAGAAAAAATGAGACGGCTTATTCCTTTTTTTCATTTCACTTTGTCTAATATTGAGATAAAATTTATGTCTAATATAAAATATATGTCTAATATAAAATAATTATTAATAATAATACATTTAATTTTTAATTTAATAAATAAATCTCAATCGAAATTTTTTTATATCAATTTTTATGTTTTTTTTTTAAAGCTAATTAACTCTATAAAAATGCCTCACGAATGTATACATTCTATATATGTAAATAAATAAGATTAATATGTNATATTTATATATCATGCATTTTATAATAGAATAACTTACATCTATAAAATCTTCTTTAATTGATATATATATTGCAAGAGCAAACGAAGCAAAGGCTGATCCTAAAGCGGAAAATATTCCAAGATATCTTCTGCTCATTCTTAACAATAAAAAACTTGCTAGTGTACTAAATACAAGCCTAATAATCGCTGTAATTACTGCTGCCAAATAACTGTTTATGTTGTCACCACCTGCATACATAATGCATAAAAAATAGATATAAGAAAAATTCAAGGAGTAATATCTTTTTTAGTTTAAGTTAAAAAAAAATTAAAAAAAAAATAAATGATTCAAAAAATTAAAAAAAAAACATTATATATTTATAATCATATTATTATCAATTAAAATCATTAATAAATACTGATCTCATTTTGATTAAAATTACATAATTAATATTTTTTATATTTTTATATAAAAAAAATCAAATAAGAATTCAAATTTTTCTAAATTAATTATTAAATATCAATAAAAGATTATTGAATTATACGATTAAAGATAACAAAATATCAATTAAAAAATTATGTGATTTATGAAGATATTATATTACACTTAAATTTTAAATGAATATTAATTATTTAAAAATTTTCATCGTCGCATATTCTATGATTGATTTAATTATGATATAATATTATAATATTTATATAATATTAATCGATATAATATTTAATCCGTTGAAGATTCAATTATCAATTGATTATTTATTAAATACTTTAGTTAATGGTTATTCATTAAAAAAATGATTACAAATTATTACATTTTTGAATATAATGAAAATCAATTAAAAAGT